ATCTCCCCGAAGTCATGGAGCCATTTGCAAAGACCGACGGAGTCCATGAAATATACGACCATCGTGGAGAATTTCGAGAATTGGATGTTGCGGGGGCGGTGGCCGGAAGAATGGGAAGAGTGAGTGTGAGGGAATTGGCTGCTACGCCGGTGATGGGTGGGAGAAGGAGTGCGAGGAGAAGTGCGAGGGAATTGTATGGGGATGTGGGTGGGGTGGGGGGAGAATAAGTATTAAGGAATTGGATGGTGGTGTGTTTGTGAGGAATGGAAGGAGAGGTGATAGTATGACGCAGATATTTGAACTTGATGGACAATCGTATATATGATGAGAAATGATCAATAACATAGTACTAATGAAACATTACGAATGGAACAAACCAAACCATGTCAAACCATGTCAAAGTTGTAAAATTTCCGGCACTTGCTAGGGAAAGATATTCAAGTCAACGAAGCTCGGATGAGATCAAGAAATAGTGCATCATAAATTCATGTCATTGCTCAATCGTATGTACAAATAGTAGATAGACTCCATATTCCCATTATCCAATTCCATTTAATTGATATCTCGCCCTTATGCGGTACCAGTCTATTGAATGATTAGCATCTTACTTGAATCCACGCAGATTAGAATATAACATACCTTTCTTTGACCAACAAAGAATCCCAATCCAAAAGTTTCAGTGGTGAAAGTAATTTTGCTTCCCTTGGGGACTATTTCGAATTAGACGACGAGATTTCAAAATATCTCGAGGTAAACTTACAGTAGAAAACATCACCCTTGGTAGCATGAACCTTTTGTCCAGTCTCATCACTGATCGTGAACTCTCCATCAACAATGATCTTCATCTCATCATATGTGTATTCGTAGATCAATGGGGTTCCCTTTTCTAATCGGTAGAAACCGGCTGAAATTGGTGCAGTCTCATCAGTAGATACTGCAACATCACCGAGGAATGCATTCTCGTTGGCGATGAGAGGGGGCTTGAATTCGGTTTGAGCATTGGCATGGTATGTGAATGGGAGAGACATATTTTCGGCTTTGGAAGTTTTTGATGAAGATTTCGATTTCAAAGTTTTGGCTTTACTGATTATGGAACCCATTATTAGTTTTGATGAAGAGGATTAGGTATAGATGAGGCAAGAGATGGTGAAATTGATGGAGTTGTGATAATTGGGATTGGGATTGGGATTGGTATTGGGAATTGGGAAAGAGGAAAAGGAATATAGCTGTATTCATACCTTGAGTTCTTGATAAGAGATGGTTTGTAAATAGAAGAGTGTGTGTTGATCTGGAAATGTTCACTCTCTTCGTCCATACCACCTTCATCTTATATATTCATCCCTTTCATTAGCTGAAGATGATATGATAGAATCATCCCACCATCGTAAAGACATCTTCCGTATCAGGTATGCTCAATGTATTCCATGGACTGTATTGCTGAAATAGGAAATACGCGGGGGATTGTTATTCTTGTGTTCGATGATGAATCAAAGGAGGGGTAGAGCCGGAGTAGTTCGGGTACGGTATGAATGATATACGGGGTGATATCGGATTCGAGTTCAAGTCATAGTTGTGGTAATGATTGAGGTGTCTTAGCTATGATCTATCGTCCTAAGGATTGTCGTTGGTTGTGGATCATGCGTGCATGGTCGGTATCCTTGTGCTAGATTCCAGATGCCGGATGCCTCGAGAGCTCGATAAACCAATTCTTCTTGGTTTCCATAGCTGATAGGTAAATTATCATGTATCATGAATAACGATCTCTGAATGAAGGGGTTGTCGTTGATTTACGATAAGGAAGCGAAGGAAGTTTTACCCAAATATGGTTAAAATGTATATTGGTTGTTTCCCCACAATTTTTCATTTGGTGCATTTCAGTCCTTTTTGTTCAACATGAATTCTAAATCCAGACATAGTGAACCTTTGTAGAGAAAAACGGCATCCGGGGTCTTCGATATCAATATCAATATCAATAATATGATGATTTCTATTTAAAACTACATTTCAATGTTCAAATGCTATTGATATTCCTTTCCTTGTACCTACTATAGATAGCCAATGAATCCATTAATACCCATGTCATTTCGGACGCTCTCGCCCTTTTATGCATGCACGCCCTGGTGTCTCGCCCTTTGCCCTTCCTTCGCCCTTTGCCCTTCTTTTCGCTCTTCTCTTTACCCTTCCCTTCGCTCTTCTCTTTACCCTTCCCTTCGCTCTTCTCTTTACCCTTCCCTTTACCCTTCCCTTCGCCCTTTTTTTTGCCCTATTCTTTACCCTCTCGCCCTTTCGCCCTACGACATGCAACAAAACTTGAATTGTCACATGAAATAATCTCTATTGGTTAATTACTATGTAAGTCTGGCTATTGATTGGTTTGATCGGGACAAAGTTCGTACAACCTTGTCAAACCGTTTACTTTGGGCTTCGGATAAATAGTTCTCACATTTCCATTCCAGTATCATTGGATGAACACTGCATCATGGATCCCAAGGGCCTTTCGCCCTAGAACCTGTCAAAATATCTGCTTCCTCATCCTCTTTTACGAGAAAAATATCTTCATGCCTCACACCAAAATTCCCTTCAAGATAAATCCCAGGCTCTAGTGTAAAAGCCATACCTGCATTTAACTTATCTTCAAAGTTTCCCTTATTCAAATAAGGACTCTCGTGTGCCTTGATCCCAATTCCATGTCCAACACGATGAGTGAAAGCTTTACCATAACCAGCATCAGTGATCACATCTCGAGCCGCGATATCTACAGAAGCGCATGAGGAATTCGGCTTTAGCACTTCTGAAGCTCTGGTTTGTGCCTCGAATACAATATCCCAAACTGCGATTTTGTGCTGGACAACTGATGAAAGAGTTGAATGATCTTTTGGTTCCGAAAAGAAAGGTGGAAAGAATGTTCTACAGATATCAGAAGAATATCCATATAAGTGAGCCCTTTGAAGATATCAGCTTAGATACATCCAAAAACTACGTGCTCATGACTCACCCAACATCAATTAACACGAGTGTTTCTTTTTCTAGAACTTTACTTCCATTTGGTCCACCATGTGGCATTGCGGCATTCTCATCTATCAAATTGTTAGTATTATTTTTACATCGAGGTATCTTGTATTCCTTTCTAGCCGAAAAAAATCGGTACGGATCTTCCCAATGTCCTAGATACTTCTGAACATGGAGAGAGTAAAGCAGAGATCGGATGAAAGTAACGGATGAAAGTAACAGACGAAAACTTCTTGAGCACTCAAAGAAGATTTTACACAGTAAGTAGATATGAAAAGAAAAGTAAAATCGACTCGAAAAAAACTATCCGAGAAAGAAATTTGGAGAATTGATTGTTTGGCTTACCAAAAAGGACAATATCAAAGAATGGTTCCATCCCACCAGCTCGCATTGTACTATCAAGACCATTCATGACCTCATTTTCAGTCAAGCCCAAAACCATGCACTTCCTCATAGATCGTAATGCTTCGACAGTACCTGTATTGACTGCTCTCAATATACTCACTTCACCGATTGTTTTCCTTTGCTTCACTTGTTTCACATTTCCAGCTAGTCCTAACACCTTGAACTCATTTTCACCAAGGCCTCTCTGGATAAAGTCTCTCATTTCTTCATCGACCATTACTTTTGGTAGCTTGGTAGAGTCTACACTTTCTTTACCTATGGCCTCATGCCAATTTTTCAAAAGTGTCGAGTAAGGATTCCAATGTTCCTCCCAAGTAATAATACTCAGATCTTCCTCGAATGGCATACCAAGCATTCTTACCCTCCCTTCCTCGAAATGAGGAGCTAAAAATGATGTTTTTGCAACAACTTTGCTTAAAGTCGTATCAAATTGAGGTGTGATGATCATGAGAAATGGCCGCTCTTCAGGCTCCCAAACTTCCCAATCCGTTTGACTGATATTAGCATAATATTGAAATGTATATCCTGGTTCAACGATGAATGCATCAATCCCATCCGTTTCAAGAGCAACAGCTAAATTATTCCTCCTCTGAATGAATTCTTGGAATGTTATCGGTGATGCACTTTCCAACCATGGCAAGCCGGTCTCAAGAAACTTGTCGATAGAACATCTTCGAAACTTCTCGTATCTTAATGAATTAATTTTCTCCACAATCAAAGGTGTCAATGATGAAGACTTTTCCATGTTAATATTGGATCTTTATCTTTGAAACTTGAGACGGGAGCTCACCACAGAGTCTACTAAAAAATGCACGACGAGTATGAGGATGGTGAACCCGGCGAAAGCAATAATATGGCGTTTGAAAAATTGACTTCGGCTCTCCCTATACCTGAAAGGTTGAGGTTCCTCCATTTTATGATAAAACATCTTGAGATTGACAGTTAATTCATGTAATGAATATGATGGAGAGGTGATGATAAGGAATGTTCTAATAGATGGCGGGGTAATGAAATAAATAGGTGTGTATTGAGTTAAATGTTAAATCCACTCCAACAGAACAGCCCGATTACTTCCTCTGCCAGCTCACCACTTCTATCTGATGGAAAGGGTGCTTAGATTGGATTCGGGAAGGGTATTTCACCGAGTATCATTTGTATTGAAACCGTTTGTTGATGGATAGATATGGAAGGAGAGAAATGATGATCGACCTTTAATGAAGTACAGACTTTGCTAATTCTTCCAATCATCTAGCCGGGTTGACTATTCATCATTAGATAGATTGGATTGATCAGACTGATATCACATCTCTTTAATTTATCAAATACAATGAGAAAGATGTACAACCAAGTAAGTATATGTTGAGTTTCCATGATGGATATATATCGCTACTTGGGTAGAGATATAACATACTTAGGTAAATGATAAGTCCGACAATTCACACCCACAATAACTTACCTAATAGTGGGGTGAATATGATCTACCACATGATATCCCACAATAATAAATCCCACAAAAATATAAAGAGAATATATATTAGCATAAGCATCGAATCTTCAACCAATAAAAGCTTCTAGCTTTCATTATCGGGCTTCTGGCGCAATGGCAACGCGTTTGACTTCGACTTCTATTAGAAATAATAGTTCTCTCCATCAAAAGATTGCAGGTTCGATCCCTGCGGGGCTCAATATGATCTAATAGTCAATACATTTCTTTTTACTCTTTTTTTGCTTCTCTTTTGGTTGATTTCTGAGACCAGTTCTGATTGTGGCAGTTTTTTTATTTTTGCGTGGGCAGAAAATTAGGCGGTAAGACAAATTACACCTTCATGCTCCATCCTTCATGCTCCATCCTTCATGCTCCATGTCACATTTTATCAACTACACATCAACTTAATGATTATATCCACCCCCCTTTTGATTAATAATTTTATATTCAACACTATGAAAGCACTAGATCTAAGGTCAGAGTCGAATAGATCTTGATTCATATACCGGTAGATCTTGCTTGCTACATTCAAGATGTAATTTCCTTGGATTGCTTCCTTAAATCTCACTCATGCATCACGAGAACTATCTCTTGAGTCCAAGTACCCCAGATTTCGGCCCGCTGCTACCGAAATTTATTGGCAGTATATTTAATGGCAAAATCGTATATTGAAGATTCAATATATCCATCCTATCATATTAATTCCCCTGACATTCGGTAATCTGCGTTAGACAAGTTTCATCTATCTCTTCACTTCGTTCCCGAGAGACCCGTATCAAAAACCACGTTGATTTACCTTGTGATATCTCTTTCGTATCATGAAGAGGTGGAAGATATATTACCGCATATTTGGGGAATGCATCCTGGTGTTTTTTTGTATATGGATTTTAAATTTATGGACGAATTCTCAATTTCTTACTCATTCTGGTTGGTGATATCAAGTGAATGTCATGGCCCGACGGGAAGATCATGAGACAATTTTGAATATAAATCGAAATATTTTCTAAAGTAAGAGTTACCTAGTAGTTACTTAAGGTGATATACTCCCATTGATATCAATCTATCAAAACAACTTGTAACTGTTCTTCATATCTTGATTAGAGGTCTCACTGACACCATGAAAACTGTTACCCTTTTGTTCGTTCTATCTTTGACAGTGGATTTAGTATACTCCCAGGCTGCTGGATATGCTCAATGTAATTTCTTAATCTATAATTGTCATTTGATAGTTACTGATTTGAATTAGGCGGCGGAACCAATTGGACTGGAGCTACTACTTGTGTTACTGGATATGTTTGTCAGTATCAGAATGCGTGTAAGAAATCCATTCAACTCTAACTCTATATATTGAATCACTTAATTCCTATAGATTACTCACAATGTGTTCCGGGTACAACAACTACTTCAGTACCCACAACTTTAACCACGTCAACCAAAACCAGTACCATATCAACAACCTCTGTATCAAGCACCTCAACAACCTCTATATTAACCACATCAACAACTTCATCCTCAAAAACTAGTTCGACAGCTACTTCAACAGTTCAATCATCATGCACTGCAGCATTCACTCCAATTACTGCTTCGGCTGCATTTGCTGCATTGAATCCAGGATGGAATTTAGGAAATACTTTGGATGCTGTACCAGATGAAGGATCTTGGAATAATCCTGCTGTTGTTGCTAGTACATTCTCAACAGTTAAGTCTGAAGGATTCAATAGTGTTAGAATACCAGGTAATAACTAATCCCATTCTTATTTGTATCATGTATCATTCTTGGTACGAAAGAAACTAACAAAAAATATAGTAACATGGGCATATCACTTTGTAACCTCATCCCCAAGTTGGACTGTTAATACTACTTGGATGGATCGAGTTGAAACAGTAGTAGATCAAGCCTTGGCCACAGGAATGTATGTGATCCTCAATGTTCATCACGATTCCTGGATTTGGGCAGATGTTTCTGCATCAGGTGCCAATCTTACTATGATTGAAGAGAAATTCTCTGCTCTTTGGTCTCAAATCGGAACGAGAATGAAATGCAAATCTAGTAAATTGATCTTTGAACCAATCAATGAACCACCTGGAACAACACAAGATAATGCGAATGAACTCAATAAACTCAATACTCTCTTCCTCTCAGCTATCAATTCAGCTGGAGGTTACAATCCTCAAAGAGTAGTTACCCTCTCTGGTCTTCAGATGAATTCGGTTTATACTGAGCAATGGTTCACAAAACCCACAACTTACACAACTCAACCTTGGGGTCTTCAATTTCACTACTACTCACCATACATGTTCATTTTTAACGCTTGGGGTGATACCATCTGGGGTTCCGATTCAGATAAAGCTTCCATGACACAAGACTTTCAACTCTTCGCAGGAAACTTTACAGGTATCCCGACTCTAATTGGAGAATGGCAAGCAACACCTCAATTAACTGAACCTGCAGCTAGATGGAAGTACACGGATTATTTTGTGAGAACTGCCAAGACTTTTGGTTTTGCTCATGTACTTTGGGATAATGGACTTGACTTCTTGAACCGTAATACGAATACCTGGAATGATCCCATCTCTATGTCTATCCTTTTCAACGCCGTCAAAGGAGTCTCAAATTCTCTTGCAGATAGCACGACAGATTCACTTGCCACATCTCAGAATTCATCGGCTTACCTATTCCATAAAGTTGGTGATGCTGTTATCTCACAATCTGTTCCTTACCTCTTGAATGGAAATACCTTGTCATCAATCAAAACCTCGACAGGTACAACATTAGCAACTACTTTATATAGTATGTCTTCGACTGGTGTTCTAACCTTCACTCAAGCTTACCTCTCAACTCTTTACTCCTCCACCACTACCGCCGGTATTCAAGCCACTTTAACATTAACCTTTTCCGCCGGCGCTCCTTCACAATTACAGATTGTACAATGGGCCACTCCGACTCTCTCACAAACCTCATTTACCAAACAATCCACTACCGATCTCACAATCCCAATTAATTATGCCGGACTCCCACAAGTCGCTGCTATCAAAGCTTTGAATGCAGATGGATCATATATGGTTTCTGGTGATGCTTGGACTGTATATTTGGGACCTTTGCAACAAGCTCGATGGACTTATGGATCCTGGTCGAGTAGTAGTTCTGGATTGACGATACCAGTTTCAGGATTGTCAGTTATTAGTAGCACAGGTCAAACTGATATTTTGACACTTGAAGTAAGTTTTGTTACTTTTTGCTAACCTTCTCGCTTCCCTCCTTTTATCCTTTTCTCTCTCTCTTCCAGTTTGAAGTTGGGAAATTCACTGTGTGTGATACTTATGTCGATATAGTTTTTCCCGAGAATTCAAGGTCAAAATAGTGTGAATATTACATTCACATGATTATGGAGTAAGGAAGTATTGTATATGTAAGAAAACTTACAAAATACAAGTAGGTCAAGTGTGTGAATATCTCGAATCGTCGAGATTTGGAGTATATATAGTTCCGATAAGACTGATCTGTAAATATTCTTCAATTAAATACCTACATATATTCTTTTCTATTATTAGAAATATAATGTCACATTTAAAAAATGTGTATCATTACTCGAGTATATATATTACTTTCCAATTTACTCTTCCCATCTCAACAAATCTACCTACCTTACCTCAATTTCACGCATTATCCAGATATCTTATGAGGAGTAAATGGAGAAATGAGGAATCTGCAACTATACCTCACATTCGTTCCAGTAGATCAATGACAAGATGCGCTCCAATCATCTTGTAGGAGGTCATGAACTCCGACACATGAATTCCAGCACGTGAACTCCGACACATATCCTCAAATTATATATGACTTTGACATGCGTGAACTTTGAAGAAAAGAATAAATCTTCAATTTTGGGTATCTCGACTCATCCCTCTCAAATCTTGAATCAGTCAACTAGAGTTTACCGGCCCAGCTTGTCTGGCTTGGAAAGAATTTTTGGAATTCAATGAAGTAAAGATGAAATGAACGTGAGAATTTTCTCATTCTACTTTCATCTCAGAATCTAAGATACTCTTTTGTCTTGTTAATTTCAGCCCTCAGATTTCGTAAAAGTATATTGTGTTTTTATTTTCTGAAGAATTCAAATATAAATTAATTGAGAGTACTCGTTTCATCTCATCTCGAGTCACAACGGTTGGCTTTCAGTGATACAATACAGCCCTAAATCCTTCATTCGTAAGATAACCACTAAAAGTTCTGGGAATCATGTATACCTAAGTTTCTATGGATTTCAGCCGTTCAATATATACATCCTATGGCACATCATCATACATGAAAGTTCAACCTCAAATGTTAGACTGAAAAAAAAAACAGCCCCCAAATTATATATCTGCAATGTCTTCAGCTCAATATCATCACCACCGTTACTTTTTTATTTTGTATAGCGGCAAGGGGCACAGAGATGTATCTAGATTCCAAAAAAGCCCCTGCGTCCGTCTGACATACATGAGATGAAATATTACTCCCCCTGCGTTTAAAAGATGGCTCAACGCGATCTTATTTCCGATTATATCTGTGCTGTATTACATATTAGGTACATCGCAAATGTACAACCTAACAGCCTCATCAGCCACCAAAGATGACAAGAATCCTTGACACAATCGTTGATGTTCGAGATGAGGATTTGTTATGATATTGCATGAAATGATAGGTTCAAAGGCATGTATTTTCCTTGTATATGCGGGTACCAGGGGGTTGTCAGGAAGAAAAGAAGTATTCCAAATTCCGACAAGTATAAGGAATTTGTTGGTATAGGATTTAAGTAGTGGAAAATATTGATTTCAAATCAAAGGCACATGCAAATGCACATGTAAATGCAAGATAACCAAAAAGATTAGTGATATCCATATAGAATTCATCTAAACATATTCCATCTTTGCTTATTCCCATCACCAACTCACCCCCTCACCCACAGTTTCCCATAATGTATATACAACATGAAATATATATTGACATACTTGCTAATCACGTCCGTTATACCGGTACTGTGTCAATCTTCGCCCCCTTATAGAATTCATCTAAACATATTCCATCTTTGCTTATTCCCATCACCAACTCACCCCCTCACCCACAGTTTCCCATAATGTATATACAACATGAAATATATATTGACATACTTGCTAATCACGTCCGTTATACCGGTACTGTGTCAATCTTCGCCCCCT